TATCCCTTTCACCTAAATCTTACACACTGAACCTTTAAAGCAATTATCAATCAATCAAACGGGCTTATTTGTTTCCTATAGAGCTACACAACTGTGTCTCTTAAAGCTAATATTAGCTTCACTGACTGACAGCTTCACAGCCCTGAGGGTGGACGTCCACATTTACAATGAAGCATGAAACAACAGTTGATGTACTTCCAAGTACACAGGGCCTCTCAGGCAACTGTTTCATTAAGTGTGGCAGCTGTCATTGAAAGACAAATCCATTTTTCTGCTAGCGTCCTATGTACGTGAAGACAGACAGGAGAAAGTTGACCCCACTTTAGCCAAATTTGTCTTAATAATGAGCAGTCAGTGGTTACTGACTAAAACCACGCTAAACATTTTTTACTATTTTGAAGCTTCAATAAAAATGGAGCTGTCAGAATTTTAAAAATGTCAGTCTTTCAATCCTGTTTTCTAAGAAGATTAAAGTCATTAATCGTTCAGCCCTAAATATTGGGGATAGATGGTTTTATTTTTAAAACCATTATGAAACATGGTATCATTCCAACTCTTTGCAAAATCTGAAGCCACTTCCTACAAACTGTTCATATACTTTCAGGATTTTTGCATCAGTTCACTTTGAGCCGACATGATTAAGAATCTGATGAAATGGGTCTGAGGGCTTCTCACAAAACGTTTTTAAGAACTTTGCTTTATCTATGACAGATAATAGTACACATGTATTCAAGCTTGATAATAATACACCACTTACCTCAGAAGAAAAAATGTATTTGGCATAAATGTTATTGTGTCTTGGTGCTTTTTTAAAAAATAAAGATGTTTTCGGTCTTTCAGTTTAAAGACGCCCTAGGAAGTTTCCCTCTGCCTGTGCACTTTGACTGAAAAGTCCTTTTTGCTATGAGGAAACAGATCACCTCCTTACTGTGACTGGTTTGTTTTTGTGTGAATCAGTCAGACAGGATACTATGCTGATATGATTAAGTTTATCTTGAACAAATCAAAAGTTCAATTGTCCAGATACTGATAGTACACGAGAATTGAGGATCATTTAAATAGAGTTTAGCATGTACGTGCAACACTGTCAGAGAGTTATATAAGCATGTCTTCTATTGACAGTTGTGGTTATCCATTATGTATCAGAACTGTGTGGAAATTGATTGCCTGAATAATTGAGTTGCAGATGACCTGTAACAAATCAAAATAACAACTCTGTTCTGTATATTGTAACACAGATACAGAATGTGTGTCTCAGACACTGTTATTGTGTCTTTTCAAGTGAATGTATTGTATTGTAAATTTGAAGTTAACTGTTCATATTGGACTTCTATTTTTTTAAAGGAAAAATAAATCATGCTGAAATGAATTGAACTTTTGTCTTTTAGTTGAACTGGGGGAGGAATGTGTGCATTCCAGGGTTTGAAGCTGTGTGTCTCACAGGACAGGAATTGTAAAGCAAGTAGCACTAAACCAGAACACACACTGAACTACATGGATAACGCAAAGATGCGTGTGTGTGTGTGTGTGTGTGTGTGTGTAGATGACCTGGAATCACTCAGGACAGTATCAGGGCCAGAACAGGGACTTTGGCCACCATGCAGGGTGTGTTTACTGGCACATCAGTTAACATGCAGCTGGCCTGCGTGCGTGCGTATTTGAACAATCGAAGGTCCTGGTCATACTGAACAGTGGAAAAGTGAGGTCGTAAAGTATTGATTGGGCCGACGGTCTGAGGGCTTGATATGGTCCAGCATCAAAGCTGTAAAGATAGCAGGTTTAGATCTAATTACAGCAGGTCAACATCTACTGTAATAATAAATTGAGGTGTGTGAGGTTCTGGCTTCTGATCTAAAAAAAGTATGACATCTAAGTTCACACTGACCTCTATGGCACCATGATTTGTAATCAACGGTAATAAAACCTCTCTGGTTTGCACCTCTCACATGGCCAGGGCTCCACTCTGACAAAGCATGATTTCTAACCAAAACTCAATGAAATTAAATGAATTGGAGGCGCTACATGTACACCGTTCCCCCTATAAGGCGAATCTAACTTTTTAATATTATAGTAATGCCCTTTCTCATTGATGTCAAATATCATTGTGAAATGCCAGTGGGAACTAATTGATCATGGATTATTTTCCCAAGCTTGATTCATGTCTGTTGCTCTATAACTCGCAGAGACACCTCGCAACACAACATCATGTAATAAACTTATAAATGTTATACATTTTCACTTCATTATGTAATCACACCTGCATTATGTAATAATCTGACACACTGGGTAATAAACAGCATGAACACAATATGTAATACATTCCTCTCCAGTAAAGACTTCCGTTTCGGTTGGTTGTTACATAATGGACCATATTATTCCATGTCCGTAAAAAAAAGGGCGACCCATGCATTTTGCTGCATTATGTAATAATTTATTACAAGTTGTGTTCATGCTATTTATTACAAAATGTGTCAGATTATTACAAGATGTGATGTTACACACCTTGAAGAATCTATTTTGATCTATGCATGACATTATTTTCTGACTTCATTGTCACTTCTTTATGATGAGAATTATCATACAATATCATATAGTAATATTCTGATCAATATAAACACCAGATTGTCCCTAGCCCAATAATTTACAGAGACATCTTGGAAAATGTGGATATTTCTGTTGACCTTTGACAGGGGTGAAAACAATACTCAGTCATAAGATAACCACATATCCAACATTATCTGGGAGAACCTTGTGTCTGTTATACAGTGGTTATGATTGCACTGCCTTGGATTTGCAAAATCATTGTTATATTTCAGTTCTCGGAGGTGCTCTACCCACATAAAAAGAATCCAGTGTCCAACAAAAAGGTTAAAAAGCTTAGCTTGGATCTTGACCACAAATCAAATGCAATCCTCATGACCTCAGTCTGATAGAAGTATTGACAGAACACAAACATCCAAACGTACCCAGTATATTTGAACAAGACGGGTTCATGACAGAAGTCTGGAGGACTAGCTTGAACCAGTTATGATGTGGGATGAGCCAGAACTTGGTCCCTGCTGCAGTAGAGAGTCAGGCTTCACTGTCTGTGCATGATATCTGACACGTCCATGATGTCTTACACAAACAAAACACAGCAAACCCCTTTTACAATTTTGTTCAACACTATCATGCTTTTGCAGGTTACTGGAGGCCATGCACTCCCTTTGGTGTCTTTGGCCTTTGATTATTTTTTTGTATTTGCACCGAATTTCACACTGATAAACACAAGCCCACTAAACGTGCCTGATTTTTAAAAATTAAGATCCATTAATTATTCTCTAAGAAATCAACAAAAATGTTGAAAAACAACTTTCGTTGATTTGTGTTAAATGTGTATTTGAGCTGTAAACTAAATTATGGCTCCTCTTTGAAATACATTAGCTTTTGAAATCACATTTACACCAACTTTACAATTTTTTTTACATGAATTGGTCTTAGTCTGGGTCCCACCTCCCACCTTTTTACATTCTCAAGTCGTTTTTTTGAATATTCAGGCAAAGACACAAGCCCAAATTTAAGGGGTGAAATAACACTTGAAGAATTTTTTTTGCCTTGCAGGTACAACCTCTGGCCAGTCGATGGCGCTGCAGCCCTCTCAGCACATCCACTTTCAGCATCCTTGGGCTTTATGGTAACAGTAGTGCTGCAGAAATGCATACACGTATTTTAAATTGCTCTCCTGCTTCCTTTGGTGCTCTCTCTAGGTTTGACTTTCTACCATATGTTTAAGCTTTGTTCTAAACTTCCTTGCATTTTTCAGATTGTGGTATTTGGTATTTCTAATGACAATATAACTGGAGGCATAAACATGGTTATAGCCTTTAGCCAACCTATAGCTAACTTGCACAAACTTGACAGAACTGGAGAAGCCCACAGTCACCTTCTGCTCGAGGTCAGTGTGCATCATGGTTCTCCGGGCACACATTTATCTATTATGCAAAGGTTGAAACTTCAATTGAAACTGAAATCTGTCCAATAGGTATCACAATGCATGTTCATTAATTGTGAACATTGGCAATTCATTCAAAATAAAATTCCAAAATGTAACACAAAGGAAAATGAGCTGTAAACTCACAACTTTTATTAACTCCTAATGATAAAACAGAAAAAACACACACACAAATGCAATTATGTATTATTTTCTATGTTGTTGGTCTGTGGTCAGTGGTGTAATTATAGATTGAGCAGTGACCCCATGTGGTTGGATTTACAAATTACAATTAAAGCATGGTTTGCATGTTAATTGTTTGGAACTAATCTACCTCGGTCACCTGGAGACAACAGCAAGATTTATCACAGCTATTCTGGAGTCAACACAGTCCAGTATGCTGCTCATAAAGTGGTTACATACAGTTAGAGTGGACTTGTTGGTCTTCTATTGTCCAGCTGTTCGACTAAACATATTTTCCAAATCAACAGACTCTGGATTCTTCTGGAGGATTTAAAAGTCATCAGTTACAAAACAAACATGTCAGACACATATTGTTATTCAAAGCCGAGACCAGGTCAGTATCGTGGCCTTCAGTGACATCCCTAGGTTTGAAAGGCCTGGCCATTAACTACTCTTCTAACTCACCACTTTTTAATTTTGCACCATGGAAACCGCTCTACACGGTTTCACGTAGCCCACACTTACATGTCCTGCTTTCTCTGCTGCTGGTGTTTCTGACTGACTCATTTAATGGCTCTAAGTAAATGACGCTCATGAGGTGTCACCTTCCTTGAGTTGGATGGTGTTTGTCCACCAGAGGGGGTTGTAGCAGGGCTCTCAGTCTTCAGTGTGATCTAAGAATGTTTGTATGAATAAGAAATTAAGAGGCGGCTAAAAAAAACAAACAAAAAAACAAGCACAGGACACAAATGTAAAATTTTGGCATAAGCTTTTAATGTTTTTATTAGGTTTTTGAGGTTTTCTCTTTAAATTTTATTTTTGCTTTTTCCCAGTAGTTTTGTTGGTTTGTGTGTGTGTGTTTTTTTTAATTATAACTCATCTGGTTTTTATTTATTATATTAGTAAAGGAGGAGAGTTGCTCAGGTAAATCAGCATTCACAGTCAAACCTTCATACATTTTAACAACAGATCTGTTTTTTTAATAAGTCTCTATTTCACAAATGCTGTTGAATTATTACAGTTTCACCTTTTTTCTTCTTTTACATTTTTCAAAAATAGAAAAGGTAAATAATAAACATTCCATTGAAATATATTTTATACAGGTCTTTATACTCTTCATTTTTTATTTTTCTCTCTCCAGTGTAGTGACAATAAAATTATCCAGCATCAGTTTTTATAGCATAATCCCCATTCATTAATGGAGGGAAGCCTCTCGTTTATCTGCTTGTCATCCTTCTGGTGTTCTCTGCCTCTTTCCAGTGGACATACACCAACATCCCGTTCTGGGACCATCAACCAACGGATATGTCTATACCTTAACAGTGATATGAACCCCCGAGTGTCAAAATTCAACTTAGTAAATAGCTGCATCTGGACTTGTGGAAAGGTGTGTTTTTGGAATACATGAAAATCTGCAGCGTTAGGTCAATGAGGAAGAGAAGGCACAGCTAAACTAACGGGCCTGAACAGACAGGCAGACAGGCTGGCAATGAGTCGGCAGCTTGCCAAACAGTGAAGAAGAGTTTTCCGTGGTGTCAGCATCCATGTTTCAGTGAGAAGTTGTGAGAGCAGTGCCAAAAGCTGAGAGAAAAATGACACTAGAACATATCTGTTGGAAATGTTAGGTTACATGGGAAGAATCACTCTGCTTGATTTACCAAACAGGCACCGAAGCCTCGATGCTTGTGTTGGTGAGCTTCTGGAGAGTCGTGATTGAAACTGAGCCCCTTGCCACCAGACTGAACATGTCTCACACTGCTGCTCTGTGAAAAGTGACTGTAGCCTTACCAGTGAAAAATGAACATGCCTGTGTTATAGCATGAAAATAAAGCCCAATAAATAAAAGGAGTGAATTAAAGGGGGCGGAATTGTGTGTCCCACAATGTGTATTCTAACATGACAGAGAAAAGAAGAAGGGAAGGCAAGCACCATTGCTTTTTTTTTTTTTTTGTTCTTCCATGGAGGAGAGGCTTCCCCCCACATGGTCATTCGCAATTGAAGTTAAAGTCATTTTAAAGTTTCCCACACATGCATTTAGAATTCATCTTGAAAAAATAGGATACAAAAACACAAGAACAAGGGATGCAAAAAAAGCTTCTTCCTCAAAGTAAGTGGAGGAGGAGGTGGAAATGATGACAGTAGAGAGAGAGAGAGAGAGMAAGAGAGAGAGAGAGAGAGAGAGCAAATGTGAGGGGGACAGGATGGAGGGGGAAATGCAGACTGGAGTTATAGAGCCTAATTTACAAACCAATGAAAAACATTATCAAGACAGAGCATGACAGAAGTCACCTTGACAAAGTAGTCAGTGAACTGCTGCTCTACATACTGTAGGTTCAGACTTTTGACCACACCCAAAACAGTGATGTCACACCTGGCGTTTATCCGTTTAGGGGAAAGCATCCATTGTGACATCACTGAGTGGTGTCTTAACCCACAGAGAGCTGCACGGCAACCCTGTCTGCCCACGTGCCGTTTGTGTAGATTTTGAAAACTGCACTCGGCGTTACAGAATGGCGGCGGCGGTGGCTAATAGAGGGTTGGGGGTGGTGGGTTGACGTGACAGTGGGCGGAGCCGCTCATCTGCATATTGTCCTGATATGTTTGCTCGTCAGTTGGGTTTCAAGTAAAGTTGCACTATTGGTTAGCTCAGGTCTCCTTTTATTCACAAGGGGGCGGGGGGGTGGCTTAGCTTGGACTGTACAACATGCTTCCTCGCTTACACACAAGTGTAATTTATACAGACAAACACACACACACACACACACAGTCCCTTACACACCCTTACACACGCATAACCAAAACCAGAGACCCTAAAAAAGATCTTATTTCATTATTGCTCTATCCCAGCTATGCTGCAGTGGAATAATCCAGATTTCTATGTTTCTCTACAACTGTGCAACAATAACTTCTTCTTCTTCTCCTACTGTCCGACATGTCTGCTACGTCTTAATCAGGCTGGTTTATGGAGCAACTTAACTTACAAAATTCACGGCGAGCGGTCATGGAGGTTGGATCGACTGTAGCCACTGCCCATGAACTCGGCCTTTGCTCTGACATCTTAGTGTTCCCAAACTGAGGATGTTACAAAATGCATTTCTGCAGGACACGAGGGGATTGAAGCCTTTCGATGTCAATAATCAGGTTCTGTATTTTTTGTACCTGGGTGCTTTCATGTTGTGAAGCAATAAGCGTACGAATAACGAACACCAACAAGTTGCCGTAAGGTTATTGCAGGATCAGACATTTTTGTAACTTGGCATGTGCTAGCAGCTATAAGACAGGTTATCTGGATATGAGCGTCCTGCCACTACAATTCAAATCACTTTGAAAAAGAAATCTGTTTCACACAAGTCTCGATCAATAATCTACTACTGTAATTCAGTGGAGCTTTGTGGGCCATTTTGGTAATAATGATGATATGATCACCACCTGTTAGATCATATTGTCACTGCTATAATAAATAAATAGACCTTTGTAGGTACCCCTCTGCAGTGACAGTTGTATATCCAGGTTAAGTTTAACATTAAGCCCAACTGAGACACAGAACAAAGTTTTACCAACAGTGACATTAAGCCTGTAGCCCAACTGGTGCATGCTCTTTATGTTGACCGCATGCTTGTATACAAAAGCATTTACAGATGCATTGTTAGAGTATTCATGATCATAATTCATCAGACTTGCTCGAATTAAGAAATATAAAATTAATATGCAAACAAAAATAAATATTAAGTATATGTTCAACTTGATGTTGGTACAGTCCATTATTATTTTTGACATTTCAAAAGAAAAATGACAAAAACAAAATTAAATAAAATACCTGATGTAGTGTGGAAGGGCGCCTGGACAGTTTTGGCCAAAAGGACAGAAAAATCTACTTCCACGTTTAAAGAAGCATTTTGTGAAAATGCTCATTTGAAACAATGATTTTAAATTTTCTTGAAATTACACACTGCAGCATCATAACAATCTTGATGCTCTACCTCTCAGATTTTTGATTCAGTGTATTCCTGAGATACGTCCTGTTTTCTTTTGGATATTTTGGCTCTTTAAGATTTCCCCACAGCATGATACAGAAAACTGTGAAACAAATCAGTTTAAAAAAAGGAAAACACAGAAGCAGTAAGACATTTCTTTTTTGTGTGACATTAGAGTAATTTGAAACAGAAAATTGGCAGCAAATAGAAACCTTGTTGGTCCCTGCAATGTGCAAACCGAATTTTACAAGTGCTGAGGGAGGATCAGTTCTTTCTTTCAGCCATTGTTCTTCAAGTTTCTGTTAGCATAGTGTCCTATGTGTAAGCGTACTGTCCTGCATGGCCTTAGACACAATGAATGAATGAATGAATACTTCACGGACTGAAACTTGGAAGCACGAAGAAAAAAAGAGTGAGTGAGCTGAGGTCATTTTCTCTCCCCCTGTAGATACAGAGATACTTTTCGGTGAGCTACCAAACTTAAGCTGAATCTGAATTTGTAAAAGTGTATTGAAAAAAAAAAAGTCTGTCAGTGCCTCATACTGTCCAAATCTGCAATTCATCAAGTGCACAGGGGGCCTCAAGGGCATTTTCTGGATTTGTTGAGTGCTCAATAATAATGCAAAGACAAATAAAGTGAAGGATTTGTTGTGTATATCAATACAAATCTATATTAATAAAGCTGTGTGGAAAAGCATGATGTGATGGAATTTATATCAATAGAAAAGATTTAGGTCTTAAATTTTATCTTATATAATTCGTCCCTTCGTAGTTAAACAGTGGGACAATTGTTGAAAATGTCACAGCTCATAGGGACATATTTTGGGGGTTGGAGTTCACACATCTGAAGAGCCAACATTTGGATTTAGACATATTGAGCAAGCATGTCTGTCTATCTATCACTGTGGGAGCCCAGATCTGTCTGTATGCCTACATTTTGCCAGGAACAACTCTATTAGCTCGATAGCCCTTTTGGAAAAGTGTGCAATGCAGAAAAGCACAGCTGATGAAGGTCTGTGGCTGGTGAGCTTGGCGAAAGTGGTGACACCAGGGAAGTGGCGATTTGTCTCCACAGAGATCGTATTCTGTCCGTCATTTGTAAGCATTTTACAGGATGTGTTCTAAAAGGGAGCCAGATTTCAGCAGGAATATTATGGACTGTTGTCAGTTATAGTGACACATGAGACATGAGGCCGGTGGACACAGACATATGAAAGGCCCCCCTCCCCACCATCAAAGAAGCTAGACACTCAGAATGAAACAGACATAACAAAATTATGCAGATGTGGCTTTGTTTCTCTCTGTGTGGTTATTTTTTAATTCTTTTTAAAGTTATTTTCTTTCTTTTTGCACTTGTTTTAAGTCTTGTTTTTGTCATTTTGAACCTCTTTGTAATCATTTAATTCTTCCACAAGAAATGTCCACACTCACTTCAAACACTGACCCCTTGTGCCTCTGCCCAGCAGGCCTGTACAGTCATCCATCCATGCCTACACAGTTTCAGACTATTTTGCCCAGGTCATGGGCCGACATGGTCTCTCGAACCAATTAACAATGAACAGAGAACAATTAAAAGACAATAAAAATACACATGAGAAAATCCTTCACACTCTCACGTGAGAGGTATAAAGAAGACATAAGAAGATTTGAAATGAAAAGAACAAGCACATTCCAAATCCAGGTATTCAAACAGTTTTTGGTAATAACTCATCTGTCCGGTAACAGCCAGCTTTCACTGACAACTTTAAAGGCATTTCCGCCTATCTGCTTATTTCACTCTGTTTCTCTACTTAATTAAAATCTGTCCACAGAGGTGAGTGAAAATGGTTTTCCCACAGCCGAGCAGAGCGTCCTCCCTCTGCTGTTCCTATAACCGTAGGGGTACTTGGCCAACCCTGTTTAAAAACATAGAACTAAGATGGCTGCCTCTCACCAGGAGAACCACCACAGAGGAGCTACTGATCATCCAATAATGCTGGTCTGACTAACTCTGTACAACTGTGCTCTCCAGTTGTCTCACATTGGGAAATGCTACTCTGTTCCTGTGTTATATGTGTTCACAAGTTAGGCTTCTATCTTTCATGCTACCATGACTATACATGTGCTGAGTTTGTTATGTGGAAAAAAAAAAAGGTTTTGTTAGTTTGGTTTTTTGCTACTAGGCCAGGCCTTCAGTTACGGCAACCATTTTTAGCAGCAGTTTGCAGGACACTAATACATCCAGTGACATCAGCCAATAAGCTTGTAAAGCTGATTTCAGACGAGCACTATCCCAGAAAGTCTGGACCCAATTGTAATGGTTCAATATTGTGATGCTCTATTTCAAAAGCCTTGCTCACGAAATAAATACTCTTTCAACGAAGCTACACGTTTACGCAACAAAAGGAACACGGTGAAGGAAGCGACTGTTTCCTGAGCCTTTTTTTTAAAGAAAAGCATGAAAACTAACCAATGGCTGCTGTGGCTACATTACAGCTAACTCAAATAGGGTTACTTAATTATCACTCCTCTTCACCACATAAATTACAAGATGAAATCTGACAGGGACTGATTCATCATGGGATTCTTTGGCTCTTTGACTCTTTTTAAGCATAAAAAACAACACATCTGATTTTAAATGGATGTAAAAGAGGGATTCTGTGTTAAAGACTCTTGAAACATGAACATCATTTTTGCGGGATAACATTTAATGCTGACTGAAGAATTTAATTCTCAGGATTCTTCAGTAGGTGAGGTTGAGCTGGGTGAATTTTGACTTTGGTATTATGAAAATGTGGCTTTGGCCAAATGTTAGTCTGAACCTTGACTGTGACTCTTTGAAAAAATGCTTTTATTAAAAATGTTTTTTTAAAACATCATACAACTGTATGATTGTTTTGGATGATTTGCAGTTTGTGGTGCTGTTGAACTGTTTTATACACAGAAGAGTGTCTGTCATTAAACCTTTACTGATAAAAATGGGACGGTAAAAATAATAGAAACGTGTACGTTTAATACAAATCAGTTCAACAGCATCACAAACTGCAGCCTGTAAAGTTGGATCAACACGTTAAAAACACTTTCAATAAAAACTGAACATCATAACCCTCATGAAGGAAGGACTGTTGTATTAGTCTATTAACTTTAGCTAGTGTACCTAATAAACTGACAGCTGAGTTTCAATCTAAAACAGTGGCATGACAACCCTGGATGATGAGGCAGCCATCTTGTGTCTTTTCACCTGAGGAAGTAAACAGGCCTGCCCGGATGTGGGGGTGCAAAAAATAGTTTAGTACCTTTTCCGTCATATTCTGGACCCCAGACTAGAGATGACCTGTGTAACCTTGAAAGTGTGGCGATGCCTTGGATAACAGGGTCAAGCAACAAGTACCAGGGAAAAGGACAAGAGACATTTTCAGTTCAGATTCACGTGATCAGTGACACCTTGGAGGGCACAGCAAAGTTCAGTTCAACATCAGTTTGATAGTCCTGGGTCCAGATGGTGGCACAGAAACACGCATGCAGCTGCCATTTGAGAGAGTCACATAGAGCAGTTCTGGTAAAAGGCTACAAGAAGAAGAGGAAGAGGAGGAGGAAGAAGAAGCAGGGTAGCAGTCAAGTGAGAGGCTGAAGAAATAGCAGTAGTAGACGAACTTGTAGTAGCATAATAAACACTTGCAGAAGTTGGGAGGAGTCTTCTTGGATTTCTGCGAGCTGGGTTGGGAGTCCCCTAATACTTCTCAAGGAAACTAAACAGGGGTGATGTTGCAACTCCCCCTTTCCCCCTTAATTGTACATGTTTTGTCATTGAAAAATAAGAAAAAATCTTTGTTAAACATTATCCTAGAATTCTTTTTTACTCTTTTGCATATAACATAACTTTGATAAATTTTCACATTTAAATGATCAATTTCTAGCCCTGTTAATCTGGTGGGGGGGAGGGGGGATCGGAATGGCTTGCAGAGGTCATGCAGAATATTCATGCTGGTAAACAATGTCATAAAAATGCATTTCTAATTTGCAATCGTCGCCATATTTTTTTTTTTTTGGTCCATAGAATAGTTTCTCAAAGATGTTCCCGCTGCTGCTGAATGCCTGCTTTTCTTTAAAAAGCCTGTATCTCCTCGCCCCATTCCCAGAGGTATTGAGTGTATGGTCTGCAGAATCTCCTCCCCCCACTCCCTCTTTCTCTCAGAAGAGGAGGCAGCTCCTCCTCATCCATCATGCCGTCATAGAGAGAGCGGTTTGCTGCAGGAGATGCTGTTTTGCCAACATTTTAGCAGCCAGTTTTGGGGTTTAATCGTATTTCATGGTGATGATAATGATAATGACGCTGCATTGGCATTGCTAGGTGGGGGAAAAAAAAAAAAATCTACAGTCTCTCTTCCTTTTTTCTCATGGACCCCTGCTCCACTTATATAATCCATCCATTGTGTCTTTGACTGTCTTTCTTCTGGTTTTAATTGGTTTCATTCATGCCATGCAGATTTGCTAAAGAAGGGCAGCAGCAGCGATGCAGCGATGCAGGGGGAGGAGGTCAATATACTGTAAAGACTTGAGAGGGAAAGAGAGAGTGAGAAAGAGGCTCAATCAGATCACATCTTCATTTCAGTGTCATGTCTTTGAGGGTTTCTGTTCACCCCAATAGTTTGTCCATCCACGTGTCTGTCTTTGGGTTAAATTCCATTTCAAAGTGGATTAAAAGTGATTCCTCGAGGGTCTACGGAGATCCCAGTGTTCATGTTCAAGTCCTAAGCTGCCAACAGTCTCTCAGATGATTTAGATGCTGTCAAATAGATAGGATCACATCTAATATACATATGATATGGCTGATGTTTTCTGATATGTATGAGCAGATTCCCACCGGCTGGTAGAGGTCCTGTGGTTCAGCAGAGATTAGCAGGGCAGCCCGACCTCTGCAGCCGAGCGGCAACACTGGATCAGACTCTGCTGGAGCCGTTCGACATCATGATGGACCGCCCCTCACCTTGCATAGTGCTTTGAGCGCCAAAATTAAGGAGCATTCGCTGGAAATCAACAGCTGTGCATGCAGCTTCTCGAAATAAAGGGGAGTCAGTCAAAAGAATAACACAACTGTGGAAATGGAGGGTGTCTTTGTCGCATGGTTTCCAAATCCATCTCAGTCTTAAGTTAGGCTCCTCTTGCTGCTGAGCTGGGAGCATCCGGACCGTGGTTTGCCATGATTACCAGTCACTTCCATGTTAAAATGGCGGACAAGCAGTCTCCAGGTTGCATATGAATGTGTCACAGATGAAAAAACGTTCAGTCAGCGGCTATGATGATTTCAACCTCTCGTGTTCTTTGTTTTTTTTTTTTCTCTTTCTCTCTGTCTCTCTCCCATTTTCAACAGTGAGTTCCATCAGGGGAGATGGAGGAGCAGTGGCATAAAACTCATTGTTTTCCTCTTCTCATGTGGAGGGGAGTGGGGAGGGTTAGAAACTCAGCACTGAAAGGGAAAAAGAAAAGAGAATTTTATTGAGGATTAAAAGTGGACGAGCCACGATCATGACTTGTTCACTTCAGACTGATCGTGCCCCGACGAAGGGTGATTGAGAAGTGTACAAGTCATAAACAGTTTCTTTAATTACTGCAAGTGCTGACACTACGTATGATTTGATAAAAAATGTAGATATTTCAGATGCAGCATTAGAATACAGTTTGAGTTAACTACATGCCAATGTGTTATTTTCTTTCAGACTTCAAACTTAAGCAGCAGAACTGCAGTACATTCATACTGTCATTTACTGGAGTGATGCTGGTGGGTAAAATCATATCTTCTTTTCTTTCAAAAAGAATGTCTGCACAGATACAAACCAGGGTTTACTCTGGGAAACGTTACTTGTGACTAAAATAAAACAGGAAGCATTTTAAAAACTAGTTCTTACTCAGAGATTATATAACTAAACAATTTCACCCAGTAGCCTAATTGTGGTGTAGCAAAAGAACCAATTGACACAAACACTGACCTTACACTGTTAATAATAATATTTCATTATAATGAGGATGATGTATATCTTGAAGATTTTAAGACTAATGCTGGTTGTTTTCCTCTGGGAGGGGTCATGTGATAGAAGACTGAAGAATCAGGGAAGGCTGAAGGCTGGATTCTGATTCTACGTTGTGACCTAAAAGACCCAATTGGTAAGTAAGTGTTGAGTTTGTCTACATCATTATTTCCAAACGTCTGTGTCTGCCTGCCCAGACCAAAACACTGTCCTGGAGTTTCCAAACTAAAACAGAGCCAGCAGAGTTTCCAAACTTCTCTTTTTTAGCAGCTGTAAAACGCTGGAGTTTTGTGGACACCAGGCTTGTCCGTAGCAGAGTGGTCAAACGAAAATAGTGTGGATGAGTAGTTAATACTGCAGATGTTTTAATGATGCAACCTAATTCTAAATTAGCAAATACTTATCAAGGAAGGAAGGACTCAAATCTGGAGATGGATTAATGAATCCCCCCAAAAACTTCTTTGGACACAATAAACTAAAAATACGATGTGACAAATGTTTTACCCACCAGCATAAAATAAATTTACTTCTATTTCCTCTTCTGAAAAAGCATTGGTATCTTTCTGAGATGCATCATGGAGCCACATTAAACACATCATGAGCCTGTTTCCCAAAAGCATCAAGATGGGGTCACATCACGTTTGTTTTATGCATATTCCATTTTTGTGTTTTCAGTTTCAAATATTTTTAGATTTTTTGCTCACAAATGATTTTGTAAATAAAAGGTAAAAGAATATGAAAAAAAAATCAAAATGTTTCAAATCTTTAAAGGTAGTTTTAGGTTATTATATTCCCTTTTCGAGTATAACTATTCTGAGTAGAGAGAAGGTTTACAGCTGGTTTGTCTATTACTATGACATTGGTCCATTTAAACCCAAAGATGCTGTTGGCAAACAGGCTGTGAGATTCCTTGGATATACGGTAAATGAGATGCGTCGCATTAGCCATTATAGAAAGCCTTCTTTCTTTAAAAATTCAAAGTCATCTGAGGCTGGAGAAATTAAAAGACTTTCACAATGGCAGACTGAGTGTTACAGATCTAATTTGTAGTTTCCAGTGTTGTGGAAACTGCAGCAACAACATACTGTACACCAAGGCAAGGGAATGGTAAACCAACTACACCACTAAAAAGAGGAAAAAGACATCACTCAAAGGCTCGCCCAGCTCAGTCGTCATGCAAACACACCAAGAAGACACAGAGCCTGAATGTGACACACACTAACTCATTTCTCTCTGTCTACACAATCACACACTCAGACGGCAGAAGTCCTCGGGGGGCTGCTAAGTCCTCTGATATGATGAATGGTTTTTGAATGATTTTGGATGGTAGTTAAAAAGCTGATGAGACCAAGAGACATCGAGGTCAAAGGCAGTGAAATCATAGCAATGTCGGAGGTCAAAGTTCAAACCAGAGGACTGCAGCCAACCAGAACTGGGCTCAAATCCAGACCAAGAGCTGAGACTTAAATATCTCAGTTGGTGTGTCCTGCAAATGTACAGACCAGACCTTGGCCAAATAACAACCATTTTTAGCTCTTTGTTTCATCCCACTTTGACCGTCAGACAGGCAAGCTTTGCTGTGTAAGGCCAGCTGATTTTCTGCTTAATCTCATTCTGGTGCAGTGTGACAAACTTCAGTTGCCCTGCACCTGTGTGGGATAAAACAAGCCAGAGAAAGTGTTTGTGGAGGCTGTTTGACCCAGGTGTGGTATCCACAAAGGCTACATGAAAGAAAAAAACAAAAAGGTAAGGAAATAGAGTGCAGCACACAACACGAAAAACATAGAACATAAAACAAAATGTCACAAGAACACAGGAACCACACACAGGTGAGGGAAGACAACACAAGAAGCAAACACAGGTGCACAGGAACAACAGTGAGGTACACATTCTTACATGGAGAAGTGATTTTTGCTTCTTTCTTTCTTCCTCCTCATCATCATCATCACCATCACCAAACTTTTCTGTCTTCCCCAAACTTTTCCTCCTCCTTCTCCTCCCTCTGACGCTGCTCGGCTGACAGTCCACTCAGAACACATCACGTTTATAGCACATTGTGTTTTTCCCTCCTCCCAATCTACAACATATCACTCCCATCTTTGAATGTCCATTCCTATCTCTCCTCCTGGTGAAATCCAGTTAAACCAGTGTATTCATATTTTTTAACCAGTTGCAAAGGTGTTCCAATTGCTCTCTGTGTGTTGGAGGGATAACGTTTCACAGAAAGAGGGACGCAGTTATTGAGAAAGGGTGGAAAGACGACTGGATGACACAAGGGGGAGACAGGAAGCACATTTGGACAAGGAAAGCAAAATATTATATTTGAAGGGGAGTGGGCACAAAACAGAGCACATGGTAGGCACAGAGAAGAGAGGGAAGATCTACATACAGTACATTTCTGAGGAAACGTGGCTGAACACGAACACTGGGGCACAGGGGGAGAGATTGAGAAAGAGATACCTGAGTTGTGAATGGATGGAAGGGAGAGAAACTTTGGCAACAAGGGGCATCATGTGGGAACTAGCAGTAATTTAAATTTTAAAAGAAAATCCTCAGACTTTAACTTGTTTAGGGTACCTCTGCAGTGTGGAACTCTGGGAATTCAGTGCAACCTCGTCAAAGGCCTTGTGGTGTTGATCGATTTCGTAATAATAATGGGTAAACTGGTGTCATATCGATGCATACTGTGTTCCCAGCATGCCTGGACCATGATCTTTCCTTAATGAAGGTCGGATCACCAACCTCACAAAAATGGTGCGTCTCCAATACTAGTGGACATATCCCAAAAAAAAGTGTAAGCTTTATCTTGACTTTTTTCACAACCAATCAAATTAATTGGTCTTTTCAATATTTTTTTCATTTATTCTTTTCAACAGGATTCATTTCACAGTAAGTAATTCATTAGTCGACTTTATGGGTCATTTTAGTTTCAACAACATGTTTACCTCTGGTTCTCTATAGGAAGTCATAGTTTATTTGTACAAGACATTTACATATCCACAACATCGGATGTTGTTTTTTTGTATGGAGCATACCCTGACATGGGTTCCCACAGTGTTGTGCAATAGGTGGTTGTAGTCTAAATGTTGCTGGCCTTCATCAGGTCAATCGTAAGTTGTTTTTTTCTGAAGTAAATATTGGCTGCTCCCTAGGAAATAAGTTCATGATGAGCTGACAACAGTCACCACAATCACAGAGTGTCATTATTGGGGCAAAGTCTTAGAATATGTGACTGATAGAGAAGCCTGATCCCAAATGTTGGACTTATTTTCTGTTTTCATGGAGGGGTTCCATGTTTTGTACTGAAGAAGATTCAGCGGGACTCTCTTTTCCTGGGACTCACTTTACTGGGAAAATGTTATACAACCAAGGTTTCCGATATTCAAACTACTAGCGTCAGGTTTAACTGGTCTTGACTGGTCTCATCCCTTGGGGGAGGTTGCATTGAATTGTTGGAATCTCGTACAGCAGAGGTATCCTTTTTAAACTCCTTGCAGTTCATTAGACAGGACCGATGGAAATGTGTCATGGGCAGAGAATGAAGTAGCAGGTGAATGAAAGTGATAGAGGGGGATCTCTTGGGTGGAGAAGGGACTTTCTTCTCAAAGAAGAAGCAGAAGAAGAAGAAGAGTTGAGACAGTGATGGAAGAAGCTGGATTTGTTTTTTTTTTCATCTGTTAGCATTTGTTCACAGTTACTGTTTCTTTTTGCATATATCTGATAAGCGCAGGGCTTTCAGAACAGTTCTCTGTGAATAGAGAAGCAAAAAAAGAAAATAAATGAAATTTAAAAGCTACGATATTTAATATGTTTCTCTATAAGTCTCTCAAGATCGATAAGAAAGCAGCTATACAAGACCTATCAGAAATATAACCCCTTCCCATCCTGCAAAAATAAACTTTCCCACCCCACCCGGCCTTGTTACAGTACCTAACTTGGTCTGCTCCGACCAATAGCATCATAGCATTTTGGCATGCATAATGTCGGCCCATCCCACCTCTTCTTGCATCCAAAGAGATGATTTTTTTTGTCCTGCATGCTTTGTTAGTGCATATGTATGCTTCAAAACACATACATCCACACACACCCTTAGTAATCTAAATGTTATATACACATTCATTAAACTTGAGACTTAAGTTCTATCAAACCTCCTCGCATTACTAGCCATATCAGTATCCTTATTGCTTGCGTTGGGAACCCATGCATATTCATCTACAACGCAAACTTTATATATGTACATCATCATCATAAAAGCCACTCCCAACAAGAGCACATTGGGAAGAAAAGGGGGATAAGGAGAGGGTGAAATGGTGAGAAATGATTTAGATCAAAAGGCTGGGGGGGTGTTGGAGTGTGTGTTTTCAGCTATGTATGTATGTATGTGCGCAAGTGTGTGTGTGTCTGTGTGTGCCTGGTGTGCATGTCTAATAGGATGGGGGGG